GGACTGTTTTCTTTTAGCACCTCAATGTGCTCAAGACGTTTTGCCTTGTGATGGAAAATAACTTTAAAGCTTAAATGTTTTTTTTCATCCTATTATTTTCATTCATCTCTTTTGATGGCCTTGCCGTGTGGTAACAACAGTTTGACTTTTATAAAGGACTTTTAGTGGCAGGAGTATTGACCTATGAAGAGTTCACTACCAAAATATGACATCTGCAAAGAAAAATTATTATTATCTATGGTAGTTAAAGACACATTTTGCCAATAATAAATAGGTTTCCTGTTTAAAAAAAAGAAGATATAATTTGTTAAAAAATTTTGTTGCTATTATGTATTTTGGAATTATTATTATTTTTGACATTTTGGAAGACAACTCTTCATATACAGATTGATAATCCTTTGTTTTGAGCCTTTAGGCAGCATGTTGCCTTTGATTTGAGAGAAACATTATGCTAACAGTGACGGCTTTAAAATGACATGTCTGCTTATGCTGTTGGTGGTAGTCAAAATGAGAATTGTAGGATTCTTTGTAAGGGACCTTTGCAAAAGAAAAGGGTAATGAAATAAGAATATATCACCTATATTTTCAAAGATTTTTTAGATATGCTCTGTTGCTTCTTGGTATTTGTTTTCAATTTTTTTCTTTAAATGATAAATTTATATTTAAAAGCTTTAGTTCTGTATATTTCTTGGAAATTACATGATTGTATGTTTATTGTAAATACATTAAATATACTATTTTTGTTTGTAATACGAACTTGTCTGATGAGTTAGCAAAGGATTATTAATTAATAACACTTACAGCTAATTTAGAATCAACAATTGCCTAGCATGAATGTTTTCGGACTGTGTGAGGAAACACTGGCAGGCACAGGGAGAGCATGCAAACTCCACACATAAGGGCTACAGAACGGTATGAGCTGTTAACTTTCTTATTCAGTGTGAGAGTGGTGGTGCACCAGCATGCCGCCACTTAATCCAGCCAGAGATATTGCACTTATTAAAAGATGCCTTGACTGAGAATTCACTACAGCAATGCTAGCAGCTCTTTTAGACTTCAAGGTTTTCTTTAAGATGTCAATCCTGCAGAAATGGTGTCTTTATTTTAAGCACAAATAATGATCTTCTGTGCAGACATTCCATAAGTAGAATTTTTTTCTTTTTTGTTATTTGAAAGACAAGAAAAGAAACGTCTGAAGGCATATTTTCCCCACTGGCTGATGGAAACGTTGTATTCTTCAGGTCATGTGGTCTTTGAACAGATATTGTTCAGGGGTGAACTGATAAAAGAAAACTTCATGGACATACATCTAATAGTTGTTGAGGAATTCCTTTTGAACAAAAGCAGTGGTAGATTTATCCATGTGTAAACTAAATATGGTTACTGAAACAGAAAGAGCCACATTGCTATGATGCTACAGCAGTGGTCTAAAGATTGAGCATTGCTGTGGTGCTGGTTTCCAGCCTGGCCCATGATAAATCTAATTGATCATATTATGATTAAAAACATAGAAGTGATTTTTTTAGCACTGTTAATTGGGTGAAAAATAAGCAATGCTCTATAAACATGCAGCCTGTGAAGAGAACACGTTTGTATTGTTTAAATGTCACAAATAGAATGTTGCTAAAGGCAGCACTAGATAATGATGCAGCATACAAGATATGTATTTTTTTATTCACTCTTCTCACACGCAGACAAAATGATGTAGTTTGTTACATTGCATGTAACGCTATTCTTGTGATAAAGGGCTATTCACTCGGTCAGTGCTTGATCAGCCGGGGTTAAAGGTTACATTTTCTTTTCCCATCTAAACGCACTGACGGAAGAAGATAAATCCTGACATCAGTTTAATCGAAATGTGCTGGTGCTTTGCCATGATCTAATTTCCTTTCATCCAAGCCCTCTGGTTATCTACAGGCATCTCGCCGCGCTACAGCAGCCAGTGGAGATAATAGCCGGGGTTATGGATTGACTGGTGAATCATCTTGTACTGCTGCTGTGAGCGAGCCAGGTACGTGTTCGGGGCCAGGTTGCTGCGTTGCTTTTATGCGAGAGCCTGGGCTGAGAGCTCTCCTGTTTCTCGAGTGCAGACGAGGTTTCGCCAGGGCCACGGTGCAGTGAAATGGAAAGCATGCCATTCCCTGTTCCGCTTGATGCCGTGTGACTGTGAGAGGTTGTGTCATGTTCCTTGGCTATTGACTCAATGACTTGGGACTTCACGACAAAAGCCTGAACCCGTGCGGGCTCTCTGCGTGCTGACAGAGAAATGTGTCTTCCACTTGTCTTCACATTGACCCGCGGACTCTGCAAGACTGACGTGTCCACGTCCCCAAAGTCTCACCTCCTGAACCTAAAAAATAACCTTTCCACGACCTCGCCTGTCTCTCATGCTCTGTTAGCCTTGGGTCTGGCTGCCATCGAAACAATTCAGTGAACTGGTGTTTTTTTCCCTGATACAGCTATGGATTACCTGTCTGCGGCAGCTTCCGCTACATGGATGACATGGTTGAGAATTCACCCTTATGTGAATCATATTATTCTCTGTCACAGTGGGTTGAAAAGTCAAAGCACAGAGTAAGCATAAGCCATTAGCTGGTACTCAAATGACAGCACACAGAGCCAGACCTTCAAGGCTGCCTCTGCCCTGGGGTTCATCCAAGAGACAAAAATCACCATATGTCCTTCGTTTGTTGGAAGAATTAGGAGATGTGGGCTTGCAACTGTGCTCGTAAATGATGATGAATTCTTTTTACATTGTATGCAAAGAGAACATTCTGCATATCTGACTAATGCCTTGTCCAGTGACGTGGCTCAGACAGCTGACCTGATTTATTGCAAGGTTTCCTGCATTGTTAAAAAACAATCTCTGACTCAATGACAGAGGCCCAATTAGGGCCATTCCTTTGATGCAGAAAAGGTCCATATACAAAAGAGACTCTGAATTGCAAATCCAGTTGTAGCCTGTCCTTGCTTTCCCCTAATCTAATAATGTGATCCATCATTTCTACGGCGACAGCTCTACAGCCCAGGCATAGGACAGAATCCCACAGAGGATTAGTAAGATGTTTGAATATCCATATATTTAGCCCTATTTAGAGAGAAAAAATGCATATTTAGAATAATGCACTGGGCTATTCTTTTACATTTCACCCGATTATACCTCACGAGATACTTCAATTTCATTTTTCCAGATTTAACTGTTACTGGTTGTTGGTAACCTTCTAAAAAGCACTTGACATCCATATGCCTTCAAGACTCAAGGTTTTTTTTTGTCGACTAAAAAAAGAGGCCCGTTTCCTGCTCAGTGGTGGCGCTGTTGTTTGAGGGATGGCTCTGTTGCAGAATCATCCATTACCCTGATGAGCTCGCAGCCCCAGAGCTATGACAGCACAGCCACACGATGAGCGAGACAGCCGACTGCCACTATTTGTTCCACTAAAGCATTCATCACACTAATTACCCATGGTGCCAAACAGCTCCAGCAGCCCAGTGAAGCTTTGGCTGCTCGTTTGGAGACGAGGTGAGGTAGGGAAACCTCAGATGAGTCTAAACAGGAGGCTGTCCTCTTTTTTCTGGCTTTCCTGCACATAATTAACTTGGCACACCAGCAACTTGACAAATTGGAATGATGAATCTGGCCTCTATGAATAGATACAAATACATGATCAATCAAAATACCGGACAGTGTTCTCAGTCTGAGGAAATGTGGTGCTGTGAAGGACAAAAGAAATGTCTTTGCTGTGAATGACATTTGGTCTTCTGGTAGAAAAGTGAGAGGGAGGGTTTGTGTCTGGTGTGTTTGAGCTGCGAAAATGTAGAAGCAAGTCAGTGCTAAGTGGGTGGTGCAGAAAAAAGTGGTTGCAAAATCTCACCATTTCACAATTCAAGTGCCAATTTAAAAAAAACAAAAAAACATTATACTTTATCCAATTTTCAATACATAATGCCTTTTTTCTAAAGGACTACACTTTCAGCCTGCTTTCGATAACTTTTCCTTCGATGCAGACAGATGCAAAAGCACAGTCTCTCTGAATTATAGTCATGTATGCCACCTGACCTTGGAAAGTACCAAGAAAGACTCTTTGGTTTCTTTAAATTTCTGTCTCATTCACACTTAGCCCCCAACTGTCCATGTCCCTTCTGGCCTTCACACTGCCGTCTGAACTAATGTAGCATCCAGTACATCAAAACATCCCAGCATTACCTCCCCGCAGTGGCCACAGATCAACTGATCAAGCACAAAGAAACTTCCTAGAGACAGCAAATCCTCCCAGCCTGCCTCACAGTTGCATTTTAAGAATATCACTGCATCTCACTAACTAGGGCAAGAAAAACCACCAGCATAAATGACACATGGCCAGCCACATGACAGCTGTTAAAACACCCAACTAATTCTTTGATGCCATGTTGAAAAAAAAAAAAGCCTGTCATGAAAAGTGAGTGTGTTTGAAACTCTTCATTTCCTGATAAATAATAATAATAATAATAATAGTAATTACTCATTAACACAGATTTTTTCTGATGTAAAGTGACTAAAAGATTACTGACGACACTGTTATGGTCTGTCACAATTTTAACTGTATATAACGTTGACTTGTGCATATAAAACTATGGGGTAAATAAAGTCAGAAGTAAAAAAGTAAAAGTAGATAAATTTGAATTTATAAAATGGTAAGCAGAGTTTGACTTAAAGCACGAGACACAAGAGAGATAAAGTGCAGACCAAGGTGTTTATTCATCAACATTAAAGTTTTAACTGAATCTTCATTGAGGCTAAATGATCTTCTGGATCAGAAAGATATTTAGATCTGTATTAGTTTCTTATGTTTTCATTTAAAAGAATTTTTAAAAAAATTGGGGGGCGTATTTCTCTTTGTGACGAAATTACATAAAATGCGCAATTTGATCACATTGCTAAAGGAGCATCTCAGAAATGTGTAGATCCAGAACTAGATCAAGCTCTATAAATTAATCACTTCTAAGTTGAGCTGAACCTCACCTCTGGTAAAGTCTTCCTCAAGATCAGTACCAAACTTTTAAACAAAGCTGTTAATAAACAAACGAAAGCAATCCTACGTCCTAAGGTAACTAAAAGCACTGTTAACCACAAGTGGCAGCCCTTTCAGACTGCCACTGATTAACCCATGAACTGAATGTGATATGATTTGCTAAATTAGGCTAAAGAAAAATCTAAGATGCACAAATAATAATAAAAATGCACAAAAACATCACACTTAAGTATATTATCTTAAAGTAAAGTTTGAATTATGTCTTCATCCTCTTCCATTCCACTTAATTAACCACTTAGTGCCTCCACCCGGACGTTAAGGTGTGCACAGCGCCCCCCTGGGAATTTATTTGGCCTTAACACCTGAAAAACAAAACACAACAATGTAAGAAACTCATCATGTTATTGCCCTCATTATCCATGACTTTAGAGACTGGACAATAAAAATATTTTGTAATGGCATAAACAAACCTGTCAAACTAATTATGCGATCCTTTCATTCGAAAGACCTCTATCAGCATCAACTGAAAGGCTACCAGCAAATATGCCTCAAATTTTGCACTTAAATATTAAAATACTGTCAAATGTTACAATAATAATACAGTCATCTTTAGTTCTCTTATGCATAAACAGGTCAGAAATGTGTGCAGTCCACATTAAAAGGTTTGACTAAAGCATATGTCTTGTTTAAAATGTTATCTTATTTGATCAGTTTCAAAACTGTTTACAGTTCAAAGCTGAGTTGAATGTAATTCTATCATTTACAAAGCAATGTGGGTTAATCTCATATGAGATAATGAGTGCTAGTCTGAGTGAGGTCAAAGGTTAAGTAGGATTTTGTACAATTCCTAATGAGGATCCCAACATTTCGCCAGGATGAATCTGTTCATGAGTGAGACGAGCGTTAGCGGTGCGTTATAACTGCACACTGACCTGTAGCACAATGTGTCTCTCAAGCGTGAAATCCACCTCATGAAGAATTCTGCAGTTGGCCTGAAGGAGTCAGAGGTCAGCTGTCTGGGGTTAATAAAAGGTGAGAGATGGTTCAGCAGTCACAGGTGAAGCAAAGGCTGTGCCGTGTTAATCTAACTCACTAACTATTGTTGCTCTCTGACCAGGATGTGAACCGGCTAAAGAGCCTAAGAGGTACCAGCTTTGTTTCAGTGGCTGCCAAGGTTCACAGCAGGGTGACAATCTACAGGCTCTCTTTACTGTCCAGCATCTATTACCAGAGACATAAACATGAAAAGGTTTTAGTCACTAGTTACTGTAAAAATTACAATTGCTATAAATGATAATGTAAGATACTGATTTTAATATTAATTGTTGCTCCGGTTCAACAATCTATAGCAGAAACTTCCTTGTTCTTTAACTGTAAAATGCATGAAAATCAACTTTTGCTCATTTTTTAAATGTCTTGTTTTAATAAGTAAAACTTTGTTGTTAACACTTCTTATTATAGTTTAATTTAATATGTAAAATTCAGTAAATGTCTAGTGTACATCTGCTTATTCACAGAAACTTGATTCCCACTGTATTCAGGTTAAAAACTCTAGAAATTTTATTCAAGATGAAGTTGTTCTGTGTGTCAGAAAAGTTGGATGTATTCTCAAAAATAAAATTTAAAGCAAACTAATTGTGACAGGCTTGCACTTTAGACACTTCCCACACAATTGCAGTCAGAAGAGTCACAGGGATCATATTCTCTGTATTCTCCGGAGCTTACTGTGATTTTTTGGTGTTAATTGTTTTTTTTTAACAAAAGCACATTGAGCTTATTTTGCAAGATTGTAAGTAAGTTATCAGATATAAAATTCTAGGTTGTTGATAAGTTTGATAAATATAAGGTTGAAACTTGTGCAACTGGATTAGGTTTCTTTTCAGAAAAATCTGGTTAGACACAAACTGTGATTAATTCTTCATTAGTATTTAAACAATCGAAATATCACAGGGATATAGGGACTACCCTTTGAAATAAAAGTGGATGCACATTTATTCCACATAATTAAATAACTGGTAGAAGCTAGATGTAATAATTAATTTGCTTTCCGCTCACAAAATGGCAAATGTTTCTTTCTTTTCCAGAAATCATGCTAATGCTCATGTATATTTCACTTTTGAACTTAGGACTGGTTATATGCTGACCATAACCTTTTCTCCACATGCACAATCCCTTTGTTTTTATTTTATTCTGATTATTTTTTTTAAATATTGATGTATTTTGCCTCGCCCAAACACATCCAGACACTACACATTTCACTTTGCTGTGGGTACAGTTCAGATATTGAGTTGTTATTTTGCAGGTAAATTGGACAATTTGATTTGTAATGGTTTGTTTCTACATCATGGCCTCTGGGTCAGGTCATGACATTTCGGAATCTGCACACTTACACACAGTCACTGCTAAAACACAAACAGACGACATCCACTGCAGGATCTGAAAGGCTACCGTGCACTTTTAGCTCACAACCATTAATCTTGTTACCGTAATGACTTTACACCACACCCATTCACTGCCAAAGCTGAGAATACTACCGGATATTCCTAGAAGACTATAATGTGTGCTTTTCTAAAAGCTCTTTTGGTCAAGTAATTCCTTGACAATACGCTTCATCATATTACCTGCTGAACGTCGTTTTCTCATGTCATATAAACTCATCAACCACCTTCACGCTATATTTTATTCAGATTTTAGCTTGACCAATGTTTGTCATGTTCAGAATTATAAGAGCAAATTTTCAGTAAAGTGACATCAAGCTTGCATTAGAAACATTCTGCAGATTTCTGAGCAGGAAGCCAGAGCTGCCTCCCACTGCACTGCAAACAGTCATATCCTGGTGGTTTTGCCCACACAGCAGGTCTCTCCTGGCCAAACTCTCCCTCATTTTGTTTCCAATTAGCTCGCTTTCAGCTCCCCCACTGGTGATAAGTCATAAAGGGCACCAGATCACCAAAAACAGGAGGGATTTATCATCTGTAAACTCCTAAATCTGTGATTAACATTAACCGGACCCATCATGAGGGAGAGCGGGGGAGGGGAGAGGTCAGTGAAATAAACAGTGTGAAGGAATGCATCATCCACATTCAGTGTGGTAAACACTTTAGCCTTGACCTTCCACTGCTGATTGGTATTGGACATCAGCCGTGTGTTTTGTTAGCAGGCGGGGCAAGGCTTGTTTTGTGTGCGAGCAGTCGCTGGATGACTGCAGCTCTGGCCGTCTGGAAGAACGTGACAGCACACTCAGCCTCAGGACTCATGGAGCATGAGTCAACAGTGAAATGGCCATACAGACATTTTTACATGGCACTGACTTGCCATCAAAGACATCCATGGACATCAGACTGATTCCATTTGAGAAATCCACAACAAATGAAAAGAATGGTTGTGCTACACATAAATACACCAAAATCAAACAATGCAACTGTATGGAGACACACAGCAACACTGAGTTTAATACCATAATCAAAGTCACCAAATCTACTCTGAAAAATGCAGTAGCTTTATGGATATCAAGTAGCGTATACGCCAATGCAGCTGCTCTGAGTGAAATTCAATAGATCATGAACATGAGAGACAGAAAGGGCAGCGGCGCATGTGAAGGTGTCATCTCTTTAGCTAGACATGTAGCCACTGGTTTTCTTGTATATATTTAATTCCCATATATCTTTGTATTATTGCTATTTGAGGAGGGATAACATCAGTTTATTTATTCGGTTTGTTTAATTTATATTTAGAATAGATTTTACAGCCTGTGCTAAAACAATAATTTTTGTGTGTTTATGCTGAGCATTTCACAACAATCTTTTTACAGTAGATCTGCACTGGAAGTCAGGATGTTTGGCAAGTTTACTGATGAAAGCTAAAAGTCCAATATGTATCTCACCCATACATAAACTAACTTGTAAACGTTCTCTCTCAAGAAAGAAAGAAAGAAAAAAAGAAAAGGTTTTAGTAATTTCTAAAAATGTCTTCTTATCTGATTAGTCATTTGGTGTGAGTGGATGATTACGTGATTACAAAGTCCACAAAGTGACTGCAGCTAAGACAGGGCAGAGGAGAGGTGCATTAAATGTATTGTTTATAAAAGAAATGTATAAAATCTATCTCTTTTTGTGAGTGAAGTGGATCTAAAAAAAAGGGAATTTTTCTGCGTAATTTACTGACGACACTAGGTGGCATCAAATAACTGCATTTAGAATCTGAATTGGCCCCTTCAGGGTCTTCGCGGGCAGAAGCAGCCAGCAGCCTCTTTATGTACCAGTATAACATGAGTACTCATAATATACATT